ACTTGCGCTGTATAGGTTTCATGAATGTATCATTAATTTAATATAATAATGAATTCCTAGATAAATTAATTAGACTTTGCCGTTTTCGTAAAGTATCTTGCAGAGTAAATGAGCTCGAATTATAATTTCATAAAGCAAACAGGTCTGATCTAATAATACGCTTGATATTTTTAAGGACCGATACAATTGTATTCAATCAGTGCTTCTCGATTGCTGAAAGTTGCGTGAAGATAGTATGTTTGTTATAGTTGAGAGTTTAAAATATTTTGGTTATTTTCATTGTAATTGGGAGTAAAATATCTAAAATTATTCTAAACAAACTATACGGCTCCAACCGGTAGTAATTAAAAACAATGAGAATCGCCAATTCAATATACAATTTTGTCAATTATAATATATATTTTTGTATTGAGATTAACAATAGATTAATTATAGATTAAAAAATTTCCACATTTCCGTTCTATTTTTAAGTCAAGTAGGTGTAATCGTTTAAAAGATTTCTACTTATATAAATGTATTCGAAATTTAGAAATTGATATTTGTTCATATAGATTTCGAGTCGACAGAGTTTTTAGCTTCTGAAATGTTCTAGACTATTTAATAGGCTTCCGTTTGGTCTTTTTGGTTCAGAACTCTAAAAAGCGCGCGACCTCCTCGACCTGTGGCGTTCCACGGCCGTATTTCATTAGCTTTGCGAAACAGCAGTGAATTAGAGCAGTAATTTGTGTGTGCGACGTGTCCTAGGATTAAGGCACATTGTTACGTAAATGTCCGTTATTTGTTGAAAGAAACGTCTGCTGCGTGTGCGTACCCGGCCACCTATAATTGTAGACTGAGAGGGGAGACTGCGGGGGAGAGGGGATTATTCGTATTGGGGACCAGTGACTCCATTGCTAGTAAAATTATTTGTTTGATTCAGGTAACTTAATATTATTTATATAACTATACTGGCCCATATATAATAAAATAATAATATTGCTTTTGTGGTCACCATATTTACTATGGCAATTTGTCACGGTAGCAGCCGTACACCACTCCCTTCGGCCAGTAGCCTTCCTTCATGAAGGTGGACAGTATGTTGGTGGCGACTCGGGCCGATGTCATGTCATATTGTCACCTCCACCTTGTTAACCATCGTGGTTTATACCTGGTGAATTTATGATGACTATCATCCTTCACTGGTAGGAGGTTTTACTTTTTATAAATACCTCCTGTAAGTAGTATATGTGAAATTATACAGTAATAATAATTATTTATTGTCAGAAAAATACATTGTGATTGTTTGAATTGTAAAAGGATGAAAGTGTGACAAACCCACTTTCCCATTTATAAAATTAGTTTGAATTAAAGCCATATTAGATAAAGTGATTCGTGCTTATTTTTTTTGTTTGTATGAAAGTGACAATGTCATTAAATCGGTGAGAAGAATTCGAGGTTATCCGTTGCATACAAAAAATATAATCTTTTCTATTTGTATGCGACATAGAGTTTTACAATGACAGTCTGTATCAAGGATATATACTTCCTATTATAAACATATAAATATACAATCGTCATGCATTGTGTATTTATATATTTATAATAGGAAGTATATATATTTGCAAATAACTTCCGTTATTGGAAATAAACAATGTCACATGTTTTCCATCTCGCGTTCCGGAAGTAGATTTTATTAGGTATTAATATAATAACTGGGTGTGTGGACCTCTGGTTTTGCTAACAATAAGTACCATTGTTCCGTGTGAATATTAAAATGTGAATAGAAATTGTGTAATTATATATTACGATCTGTTGTCTGTTTATTTTCTTTTTTACTCACACTATTGTTTTGTTTATTACATTTTACATAAGAGAAAACAAAGGACTCCACGACTAATTCATAAGGGAAGCTGTAATCATACCAGCAACGTTCAGACAGCGTAGATGTTAGGGCAATTTATATACTTCTTTAAAAGTATGTTCAGGGTGACAGGGCAGAAGACCTGGCAAGGGGCGAGTCTGCCATTGTCACTCGGATTAATGATTAGTTTTGTTACATGTTACTATACCTTCAAATTTAAAATAACAGTTAATTTTTTAGCGTTAACTAGATTTGAACTCTCGATCTCTCTTTGGTGTAATTCACTACGCTACGACGCGTACTGTATTTATGATTCGATGTTCTATAAAAGTCTTCAATTTTAATAACATCATCAGTATAAAAATATTTACTTAGTTCACCGATGAATTATATTATCAAGACTATTATTATAGTTCGAGACTGTCATTATTCCACTTATTAAGTTTCATGGGTGGCGCGTGGGTCGCGCTGTGTCGCAAAACATTTGCGAAACCACCCAACATGTTCTATGGCCTCCGTAGACGAGGGACAGTTCGCGGCGTACATTTTTGTTCGTTTCGATACAATACAAATGTATGAGATATAGTGTGTTAGGTATCGGATTTCCGACGATTGACCATCGTATAGTAACGTTATATTTTATCGATGAAATACTATTCATAGTGGGTCTCACGCCTCATCCCTCTGAATGACAACCCTTTTTTAATTTAATATCTCGTATTTTTACGAGTTCACTGAAACTATTTTTTTTTTCATATTTTCATGTTGCCCCCATACACAAAAGTAATCTTATTGGAAAGATTATGATATTAAACAAAAAATATTTTAAATGCTGCTAGCATTTAAAATATTTTGTTAAGAAGTAATGCAAATAAGAAAATAGTGAAATTTTACTAATTTTTTCGACTAAACTCTTTAGTTTAGTCACATTTCACAATTTTTTTTTAGTTAATATGCGCTACCTAAAAACCAGTCCCTTAACACCTTGTTTTTTTTTATTTAATAGTTCGCAAAGAACTGTATTAACATAACAAACAAACATCACATTAGTATTGATATTAGGCCTAATAATTAAAAAAAAAGTTGTCCTAGCACTTACGTGTCAAAATTACGATACGTGGGTCAATTATCGGAAATCCGATACCTACACACTATATATGCACTTGCGAGGACAATTTTGTCCTCCACCGACAGATTGTCCCTCTTCGTCGCAAACTTCTATGGTCAATGATTTTAATGGAGTGAGCATTGTTTACAAAGTACATCCCCATAGTTCCGGTGTGTCGTTTTGTTACCATGCGTGCCCTAATTGTATGATGAAATGTAATAAATAGGTGAAAAAGTGGAATTGCGACGGCATAGGTTACATTAGGTTGTTTTGTGTTTGTAATACTTTCTCTTTTTGTTATAACCATAATACTACAAGTACCAGTGTAGGTGTAATTATTCTAAGCCTTCTAAGACTAACAATATATTTTTTTTAAAAATGCAGCCCATGGTATTTAAATTTATCTCGATAGGATTCGTTAAAATAGAAATTTCAATCTTCAATCTTTACTGATTTCAAACTTCTTATTATTTTTATGTATGTTTTTATTTTGTCCATTGCAAACAAAAAAAATCTTTTTTGTGCTTTTAATGGACTATTGAATTAAGTTACATACAAATAATATTTTTTTTTTTATAAATTCATCACCTTTGACTATGTTGATTTTTTATTATAATAAATAACCAAAAGTAACATATATAAAATTATATAAGTACTTTAAGGTTGTATACAGGAATTAATCAATTGCATTGAAAAATGATCTAGCGTTTGACTATTTTGTTTCTATAATAGTAATCTACAAATTTGAAGTTTTTGTTATAATTTCCGCTGCTGTATATGATGACCTTTGAATTTATTATACCTGTGGTTGACACCGAAGGAAATACGGAGGTGGTAGCCATTGATCACTAATAAAGAAGGTCATTCAGCCTCTACTAATGATATCGTCAGTCCTATACAATAAATCTTTGTAATATACCAGTTACATATATATCTAAACGAAATAATAGCATAATGAGGGTTTGAATCAGTACCAAATCGTATCGTTTTGATGACGTTGTACTTATGTTCAACTCTATACTTTTTATATTGTTATTGAAGGGGTATTTCAAATATAAGTAATTGATTTATTTCTTTATTTGTGTTAATAATTACTACTATATGTAATTGAATTGACCATGTACAATGAATACTTATTACTGATTTTGATGATAAATTTGATATCTATTTGACTTCTCTTGCAAATCAAGAGTCAATACTAGGTTTGTTACCGGTGTATTGTTTACCAGCAGGTTACATATAGAGCAGAGTGCATTTTTTTCTTAAATATTTAAATAATTTTTCAGTAGCGTGTGCATTTTTCATCTAATAAAAACTATGCTAAGCTTTATCACCGACCATTACTCAAGAATAAGATCGATCGAAATTTATTTGTGTGGTAAACGATGTAGGCCCGTAGTCCTTTGATGAAATTTTGGTCTCGATAAGAGGAGTATCATTACAAAGAGTGGAAATCTGATCTCTAAGATCTTAATAATGTCCTCATTAGCATACTTTATACATCGGAAGCGTTGCTTATTTTTTTCTCTTGTATACATGTGTCGTATCATATGTACATGTCACATTTTAATATCGTATGACGGCTATTTGTAACTGCACAGTTCGTGCGTACACGCTCGTTATGCTCCATTTCATTATCACTTGACATAATCGATTGCCCCGCGCTATGACCCTATTAACTATTACAAGGTTTTTTAATTTTCACGTTCAAGGGCCTTTGTAAGCCAAAATAATCATTATTGGATACGCTGCAACGTGTCAAAGTAGTTATTTTATATATCTTCACGCTAAATTTATTATGAGATAGACAGAATCGAGTGACTTTGTATGTTAGTTCGTAAGATTCTTGCCTCATTCATATTTATGTTTCTCATTTAGTACAGAGCCTAAGCTCCCTTGGATTGAACTCTAGTTAGAGTATCACGTGATCGAATTAATTTTCAAGAACCTTAAAGGATCACTTTTAATTAATTAAAATATTATACTCGATGTAGTTCTTGTCTTTGGATTTGTATATTTTAATAATATAACATATTTCTCTATTGTCAACAGAAAATTTGGCGCCTTCGGAACTTAAGAAACTTAGGAATAAACAGAGGAAAGCGAAACGTAAAGCAGAACAAGAGATTGCGTTAGCGGCACAAGTTCAAGTGAGTACCTACATACATATATTTATTACTGTAAGTCAGTTGGAGAAGTCAGAAGCATATTCAACTATTGGCGTTGTAATAAATGCAGTATTCGCCATATACATATTTCGCGGCATTTTTTTTGATGTGGTAGTGGGCTTGTTGTTCTGCTTACTCTTGGATTAATTTGTTATCGATATTTCTATCGTCGGAGAGACAGAAATATAAATTAACACAAGTTTTTGGCGACGACTAGTTTCGAACTCAGTTTTAATTCTTAGTTTACTTCAGTTTTTTTAGTTCTTAGTTTACTTAATTTACTTCAGTTTAGTTTTGAACTCTTTTGCCTTTTTGCCACTAGGTCGCTATGTTTTCAAAAAGATAATTATATCGTCTTATATAGTTGTAACATACATAACACATTTTTTTTCCTATTTTTTACTATTAAACAAAGATATATATAGAGTTTTTTGAGAAGTGTACTATTGCCGTCATTTTTATTTGTGTGACGCTCATGTTATTTCTCAGAGAACGATTTTTAATTATATAACTGTAAAAGTTATTCATACTTCATTTATATAATATATTACATTTGTTTAAACATTTCATTATGGGCATTTAAATAACAACGAAAGCTATTGTAGTTACCACTATCTTATCAGGTTTTATTTTGAAAGCTTATTATTTTTAACATAGCTACATAAAGCAATAAAACAATTTCAATTTAAATCTATATCAATCACAATAAAAACCGGAAACAATTTTAAATGAGTTTGATTGAAATATCCAGGTGAAGCGTGAACAGCATCATAAAGCACGTCAGCAGCAGGAGCAGGGTGATCCTGAAGCACCACAGCTCGATGAGCTCATACCCGACAAACTAGCGAGGGTGAGCATTTAATGTTTTTTTAATGGTACACAGCCCTGTGCTTACCGTGTAGATACACAGGTGGTGCACCAGTGGAGGATGATAAATTAGTTTGAAATTAGGTCAGTTAGCCCATTGTAAAGATTTATTTTGTAAAGAGTCGCCATTGCCGGAGTCACGAAGTCACGTTAGCATTCTATCTCGACTCCGGTGGAGTTAACCCGCTTTGTAGATGGTGTAGGGCAGGTCCCGTTTCGTTGTTAGGGCGACCTATTTCGCTTTACTCTTGGGCTAACTGACTTATCTTGATACTCTTTCTAGCATCTTCCACTGGTGGCCAGTGTATAAGGTAAGAACAGGTGGCACACAATCATCATCCTTAAAAATATATTTGTAATTCACAATGTGACACATGCACCGACAAGTAGCCACATACAGTTATATATACCTATATATCTATATTGCGACCTCGTCTGCAAGGAAATAAAGTTTTTTTTTATAATAAACTAGTTTTTGCCCGCGGCTTCGCTCGCGTAGTAGTAAGTATTATTATTAATTAGGTGTAGTTTTTGCGGCTTTACTTTTGTTTGTAAAAAATTAGGACTTATACAAACTTTCATCCCCTGTTTTATCCCCTTGGGGGTAGAATTAATCAACATTCTTTCTTAGCGGATGCATATGCCATAACATCTACCTGCATGCCAAATTTCAGCCAGATCCGTCCATTATCAGTATGTCAGTCAGTCAGTACCTTTGAGTTATATATATATTTAGATAAATAATAGTTGTAAAATAAAAGTATCCTAAGTTACTTATGATAAATGTAACTATCTGCGAGTGAAAGACACGTCAAAATCGGTCGAGTCATTACAGAGATTAGTAATAACAAAACAACAAAATATTTTTTTTATGTAAGTACTGTATATACTTTCATATGCATTAAGTGAAAAGCTGTTAGTATAGAAACAAAAAGACACTTTAATTTAATTTATTTGTATAGATGTATAACTGTATGTAGTTAATAGTAAGTGTGCTTTGTTATATTGAAAGATCACGATTTGCTTACACGACTCGTACCGCGATATAGGCACGATCTGTTATTACAAATATTCATAACATTCCGTTTTTTGGCTACTCTTCTATATATCCTAATAAAGATATTATGTGTTGTCATCTATCTACGTCTCAATACGTGACGTACTAATATTTCGTAAGCACATGGCTTCTCTCGGAAATATTATTTTCGATCAGGCCAGATTGAATTCACGATGTTATGAGTCGAAATAGTGGATCACTAAGCTACAGCCCTCGATAGCTGCTACCACCTTAAGCTACTTTGTTACTAATAAGTTTATAGGCTACTTAAAGGGCGTCATAAATGTTCTAGTTTCGTACTAATGAGTTTATTTGTATCTCTCGCCATCTTAATTTCTTAAATAAAATTTTTACTTACACGTAATATTTAGACAGGTTTATGCCTATGTCCATATTTAGACAGCATTATGGCTATATAAGGCTACTTTTTCTTGGATTGTTTTGTAAATGCAATAAAATATATAGAAAACATCCAGACCGATACAAACCATTACACAAATGTATGCACATGTTTATGATGTGCGAGGAATCAAACCCGCGACCAATGGAAGTAAATCGGTTTGCTAGACCATCGAGATCGCCAATAAATAGTAATAGCAATATGTGTTTGAAAGACTAGTAGTGCGTGCGACATCGAACGCGTGTTCATTTGTAAATCACCCTCTATATATATTGTTGACAATCAAAGAACACAATATATGTATAATTGTAATGAAATTTGAATTGTATAAGTATCATTAATGTATATTATGACTTGCCATATATGTAAGAAAGTTTTTTACAATATTACATAGTATAAAACAAAGTCGCTGTCGCTGTATGTCCATCCTTAGTATGCTAAAATCTTTACAACTACGCTACGGATTTTGAAGTGTTTTTTTTTTAATAGATAGAGTAATTCAAGAGGAAGTTTTATATCTATAATACATGTACACACGGGCGAAGCCGGGGCGAGGAGCTAGTTAATCAATAAACGAAAGATATAATAAATATAAATAAACGCCGTTCCCTTAACAGATCAGGCGGACAGTATCAAGAATGGTGTGATTTATTTGTGGTGTTACATGTTTGCAGGTGGAGGATCCATTAGAGCAAGCAATCAAGTTCCTACAGCCACTGCGGACGTTGGCCGCGGATAGAATAGAAACATATTTAATGGCCTTCGAAATATACTATAGGAAAGGTATTAAATTTGTTAATATTATTTCTTTTGTCTTTGAAGTAGCAATGTTTTATGATTTTTATTTTATTTTGTGTGTTTTATAGTACAAGTTTTTTTTATAAGTTTAGTTTATTGTAATTGTCAGTGTCGTGTATTTAATCATCTACTGAATAAATACTACTTAATTTAATTTCATATTATAAAGATTTTGTCATGGGGAAACACCGCTGTAAACCTATACTTATATATATTTAAATTTATACATTTAAAACATTATTTTTTTAATTGTATTTTTCTGATCGTACCTAATATACTAGGCTATAATAGTATATCACGATATAAGTGTATTGTGACGGTTATAACACGGGAAAAAATTTCGACCGAGGCAAAGGCCAGGGCGTAGTAGAGCCGAGTGTGTTAAATACGCACGTATATCGTACGACGTTTTTCAACACACTTGATTTTAAATAAACTCAAACATAAAACTGTGATGTTACCTGTTGCCTTCCCGCCGTTTTACTTTTTTAAATCAGCACGCTGCCTACTGCCTGGCGTCTCGCGGCGGTCAGTTCGATAATGATAAAAAAATAGTAAATAGTGCGCTATATAATAGAATATAACTTCACTTTTTGAGTTTTATAACTGTTTCCTCATATATGTGTACATTGATATGCCAGACAGTGCATCCCAAGCTTGTTTTGTTTGTTTGTTTGTTTGTTTGTTTGTTACGCAAGCTGTTCTTGAACTCTTGATGAACTACTCTTATTCATTCAGTGCTATTAAAGCCAAAAAATAACGCACGCGTGTTTTATCAACTTGCTTCATATACAGAAAACCGGTGCAATTAGATCCACTTTACGAGCAAGTGTGGTGAAAAATATATATTTCAAGAGCCATACAGTATCACTGACATGTTGTAATAACGTTGTCATTCCGGAGGATATGTCATGCCTCCTATTCTGTGATTTCAAAGCTTTATCCCACACACACACACACCCACAACCGAATCACAGCTCACTATACAAGCTGCTTGGCGACTCAGACGAGTTTGAGGGAAGAGGATGACTTTTTACAGTCTACATCTGGTTGTATTAATGCTTATTTATTTAAGTTTAAAGGACTGAAGAAACTAATATTTGTGAGTGTGGACGGATGTTTGTTATTCTTTCACGCAAAAATTACCGATCGGATTTCAATGAAACTACAGTAATATAGCTTATACATCAGAATAATACATAGGCTATAAATTTAAAAATACATTATGTAAATTAGGTGAAATCTTTGAATAGTATAAAATGATGTTCTTTTACTGGCTGTTTGCTTAGATCTTTTAATCTACGGATTTTAATGCAGGTTGTATAGAATATCTCAGGAATTTTATATCTACGTCTAAACTTTATTATTTTAATATTTTATTTACTGCCGAATTCTCTTATTTCCAAAATTTTGCAATAGATAGAGTGGAGAGAATGCTTTAAATGTATAATATGTGTACATACCTCGTGCGAAGCCGGGGCGCGTAGCTAGTTTTTTATGTAATATAGTATTCTATATGTTAATTTATGTTGTTATAGTAATTTATTTGCTTAATAAAACATTGTGCATTCTAGAGAAACCCCTACTGATGCTCCAGAGCATAAAGCGCGCGTGGCGATTGGACAGCACGCATCCACATTTACACGACTGTCTGGTGAGGTTCCGTTGTTGGCTCGATCGCTCCCAGTCCACGCTGCATCCGAATGTTGTAGCGGTCATCGATGCCGAAACGAAGCCGGTAAGTTTTTACGTTAGATTACTGCAGATTTTTACGTTAATTTTTGTTTCATGTATTTGTAGCGCAGGTGGTTATCATTACTGTAGTGTCATATATAATGTGATGAAGTGTCATATAATTTATTGTTTATTATAGTAACTTGGTAGTGAGTATACCGGTGAAATAATTGTACTATTTATTGTACATCAGTAAGTCTATTTGGTAGTATGCCACGAATGTACACGTTACTAATAATACTATTAGTAACGTGTACATTCGACGCGCAGTCGTAACGTGGAGTAACTTTACACTGAACTTAAATCTATGTTATGGGAGAGGTACTAATAGAAGGGTTATTAGTGTAGACAGAAATATTAGATGTGTAGGCACATATTACTAGCAGAACGGCACAACTTTGTCTGCGTCATCTTTTCTTAGTTTTTGCTATATTTTCTATTGCAACTCGATTCTTATTGGCTGTGGCGTCAGGTTAGTTATATAGCGTTCCTCGAGAAATGAGCTATCCAACACTAAAATACGTTTCAAAATCGGTTCAGTAGATCCAAATATTACTCCCAACTTATAATCTCATAAACTGTGGTGGTTTATGATTTTCGTATAGATAACTGGAATGACCCATTTTATGGAAAGTCAAAAGGCATTTAACCGATTATCAGAATCCTTACTGTTCTTAAAAGCAGTAGGCATGTTGACACAATTTTTTTATTTTGTACTTTTTGGCGGAACGTCAGTTTTAGCTAAAGTTTTAAGTCATAGTGTAAATATTTTTTTTTATTTTAACAAAGAATAAAGTATTTTGTTTAAAGAAATGAAGGTACTGGCCTGGCCATGATAAAGTATATATAAAGTATATCGCTAGAGGGTATAGGGTTTGCTATTGCCAATGGTACATGAAAATATTTTGTATATTGTAAAAGTCTGTGGTCAAATTGAGAATACATTAATATAGTTAGTCTTTAATATTATTTGCTTTGAATTTTAAATTAATTATGGTCGAATTAACTATGTCGCAGATGATGCGTGGGCGCAGCGCTCTCCAGATCGCGGAGGAGTACCTCGCGAGTGTGAGCGGCGGCGGTCAGTCGGCGGCGTTGTGGGGGGCGCGAGCTCTCAGGAGGCTAGTGCCGGCGCGCTCACCACACGCACTTCAGATAGCCACCAGCCTCACGCACAAGGACCTCTCCATCCAGGTATACATAGCGTTACGGTGGTTATCTCAGCTGGGCTAGTCAGGGAGTAACTTGCGAGTGTGATTGGCGGCCAGTCGGCGGCGTTGTGGGGGGCGCCAGAACTTAGAAGGGTAGTGCCAGCGTGCTCACCACAATTGCTGTTAATAAAAGCTCATATTCATAAATAAAATTTATATTTATGAATATAATTGTTTGTCGGTCTAGGTATTTTCTATGTATGTATTTATAAGAAAAATATATCTATGTATTCATATCAGTTGTTTAGTACCCATTACACACGGTCTGCTTAGCTTGTGACTAGATGGTCTTGTGTGAATGGTCCTGAGATATTTTTATTATATTGTTGCTCGATTATATCAATTATTAGGTTAGAGCTACAAGAGAAGCTATCAATGCCTAAAGGTGTAACATTATATTTTGCCTCTGTTAATATTAGTTCAAATTATTATTTTCTTATTCTAGGGCTGTGTGGAAGTGTTGGATAGCCTAAAAGCTGGTGACTTCGGTGCTTGCGAGAAGGAAATAGAACAATATATAGCAGCGTGTCGTGCCAAGTTCCCCTACGCCATCGCGTTCATGCCGCCCTCTCCCGCCGCCCCCGCGTCCGCCCCTGCTTCTGCTGACTCCCCCGCGGGGGTGGAATGCTCCGACAATCATCTGGACGAGAACACGCCGCTCCAGCCTAAAGAGATAGAAGTTAACAACTAAACAGGTTATGGGCCCAGAACGTGTGAGTTATCGATTTCACAAAACGAAATAAGAGTGTTGTAACATTTGTTCGATTTTGATGGAACTATTCAAAAATTTACTGTCTTTTTCTCTCGTATTTAGACTGACTGAAATGGAATGAATGGCTGTACCAGATATTGTATACAGATAAATTTGTTAAATGTTTTATCTGTGGGTTTTTTGAGGAACTATGTTGAAATTTCAATTTGTACCATTCAGGTACAAATTGAAAGCACACGTAAAACATAGGCAGCGCCGTAAAGTTGTACTATCAGGTCTTTTTTAACACTCATATGAACCTTAGGAACTGTGACATGATACCCTTCTTGTAACATCTTGTTTGTGTTAAACAATTGCTAATTTATAAAAATCGCAGTGGTGGTCAAGCCAATTGACGGGAGAAATTGGTCTGGGACTGAATTATAAATAATCTAATAGGGACATTTGTTAATTAGTTACTTTGTTTTTAAAATAACACTTCTTTAGGATTTTAATGAAAATAATAAAAACCGGTGATGTCACATATCTATTTATAGTAACACAGCGTTTCAAACAAAAAAATATATAGTATGCCGTCAAAAGACATTTTCACCTTTTTTTCATTCATTCAGCCCTATCTTCTATACGTTGCGAAAAGACGCGTGTTGTTTATCTATCTGGTACTGCTAACTACTTAAGACTCTATTTTTCAGTGCGTTTTTTAAATAATTAGTTATTTTCTGTCATTAAGGGTCCTTTTAAGGGTATCTCATTAAATATTACTGTTAGAAAATAGAGTTTGTACTCAATAGCTAATTTAATATTTGAAGTTTACGAATAGACGAAAATACCGAACAAATGTGGTCGACTGTATTTATATAATTTTTAAATTTTATACTTGTAATATTTCACTAGACTTTGAAATGTGATGACTTACTATTACGATTAAAATGTTCGTGTCTTATGATTCGAAATGCCTTTTCACACATATACATACACAGTATCAGTGGCGTAACAATAGGGTGACAAAGAGAAAAAACAACGGGATAAATGCTACGGACCACAACCTCCCGTTTTGTCCGTAGCACGCTATCACAAAAACACACGACACCGTCCTTGCCGGCGAAGACGACGACCTCAAACAATATGCCGTTTCAGCTCGTCCCGACGCTCACAACGGCGCCACCGATAACCCTTTCGATCAATCTCCGGCCTATTCAAACGGGGATTGAAATTACTACTGCCTGAGCCTTAGGTTCGAACCGCTAGCGGTGCACTCAGTCTAAACTCATATCCATCAAACATAAGTTGGCTTTCAGCTGGTCCATAAGTCCATCGGAGGGTTTGGAGTGCCATCTGTACTCGCCCCCTATCGTTGAAGGTGTAAAGGCCAGCTGCTACCCAACATTAAAATATATCGAAAAAAAAACAGCATCTCACATGTAACATGGTTTTCTATCAGTAAAACAATTTTCAAAAACGGTTCAGTAGATCCATAGATACCACCCCTACAACGTTATAAGGTTTACATAATGTATCATAAGGTTTTCTTTATAATACGCGGATCACAGATTGTATAGTAACGCCTCAGCAAAGTACATACATATATGGCGCATAATATAATATTGCATGCAATGCATGTCCATTAATCATTTGATAGGAGTTTGTATCTTTTGAAATTATTCTAGTAAAAATAATATATGTTTTATTTATTGATAAATTCACTAGCTGGTATTATAGTTTCTTGCCCGGGCAAGAAATTAAATACGTATTTAGGTGGTATATTAAAAAGTCACAAAGGTCTGTGATAGGCCTAGATGAATCAATTATACTATTTAATACATTTTGAGTTGCTTGATAGTTTTGAGGTTTTTGGGAATATTAATGTGAAGCGATTATCATAAAAACTGAGTCGGCATACTTAAACCCCAGCAAATATAAATGGTGTGGTAGTGTAGATGTAATAAACGGATAGAAGTGAAATCGTATTTGTTTTAGTGTGACCGAAATGTAAGCATGATTCTTCGAAAGTCATTTTGATGGTTTTATTTATAATCGATAAGGTTTTCTTCACGTTAGGTCTTGGCTGTTGAAGTATTTTTTTCGTGTGATCACAACCTAACAATCTTAATTTATTACATTTGTTAATGATATTCAAATTTAGATAATACAAATACTATATGTGGCAATTCCTACAAACAATACCACCACTAGGAACAGACCGACAAAACCCCGGTTTTGTCGAAACTCGCGGGCGGGCGGGCGCCCACGCCGTGGGCGCCCGCCCGCCCGCTATTTGTAAATATCAATTTTATGAATAGTAAGTTCCCTGCAATTAGATAGGACACACGCGATTTGATCGACATAAAGTTGGCCCTTGAGTTTTGTGTATTTTATGGAATAAAACAGCTTTCCATTTAACTAAGGGGTATTTATCTCACACCATTCAAGCCTGAAATCCTCATGCCTATAAGTATGTTTTTATTTCGGCTATTTTTTTAAATTAGATCTCTGTGTACAGAAAATTTGTTGTCAGAAATGTAATTTTTGGGATATTATTGCCAAATAGGCCCCAAGCAATTATTGTTGCTTTGCATACAAATACGAATTCGATTTTTTTTTTGAACTACATAATTATTATGTAACAAATTATTTTTATTATATTACGGTGTAATTTTGTGCAAAGATGGAAAATTGTGGTTAAACGCCTACTATCGTCCTTGTACGGTGCAGTAATGACTTTGAAATTGTGCGGACGCCCGGTCCCTCCATCTAATCATATTGGTAGCGAAACATGTTCCTTGTTCATTAGTTTATAAGTGCGTATTATATCCTGTTTGTACTAATAAAATTGCAGCTTTACACTGCATATTTGTCATGCGGTATAGAAATTGTGGCAATAATTATCTCGGATATTGTATACGCATTGCCTTCACTAATAAGCTGTTTAGAGAGGTCGGTACAGTAACGTTGAAGCTCGTAATATTTTGCAGCTCACAAGACACAGATGTGGCTTCGGGCAAGCGACAATATTTACATCCTTGAGCGTCTAAGGCCCTCGTAGGCGAAGGCTACATCTAAAGTAACTATCACGATTTATATCACGATATAGTTTGAAATAACTGAAGTAATTTAGTCTATACGTTAAGTAGATATCTGCTATGCCGTGGATCGCAAAGTTTACAGACTTTGTAGCCTTCACCTTAGATTTTTTGAGGCACTTCCGATGACAAAAGTTGCTTCCTATAGTGTCTTATGGGATTGTAATAATAATTAATATTCATCAGTTATCATTAACATTATCAAATTGTCTAGTCTGCTATTTTTTCGACCATATAGTAATGACAGTAATTTGTAAAATAAAATCTTGGTATAGTATAAATGTATATTGCTTTTTTTTCGAATTTATCCTAAGATATGTTTGTATCTAAATCTCTGTAATCTCTTATGACTCGGATTTCTTTGTAATGTTCATAGTGTGTCAGGCCACAAGTGTTCAAGTTTTTCATGTAATGATCTCAGTGGGGTATCAAGCGGCTTTAGTCAACACCAGTCTTGCCGCTTGTAAAATAGGTCATATGTCTTACATATGTCTCAGTGGCAAATATATAAGCGCTTAGCTTCAGCCGCTTGGTAGACCACGGAGGCCCTAACAGCATATTCTGATTAATATTTGTATAATTCAATGCGACTTGTATAAAAATGTGTGGCAAATATGTTAACCTCACGCAATACTGTCTACTCATGAGGTTTGCTTTGTAAATAATTCTTATAATTAAGTTTGTACTATAACAATATTGTTAGTATTGTCCAAGTGTTTGTGGGCTTGGACGGCGTCGAGAGCCGCAACGTGCGGTTAATTAGTATGTAAATGTTTGTTCGAGTGGATTTGTGACATGGACTCAAATGTAACCCGGTTCAGTTGTTTTGTAGATATTTGTAAAGTCGGACAATAAATTATTGAATAATTAAATTTCTGTTGAGTGACATACGAATTAAAGCCTGGGAGCTGAATATATTCGTAACCACTGCTATTTTCACTGAAATTTAATGAAATACAGTTAATGTCGTATAGAATAATATTCGATAATCCTGATGAGACTGTGTGTGGTAGTAGTATTCAGATATATTAATTTCAGTTACATATACAATGTATTGTAGTACAAAAATATGACGACAAATTCGTATCGATAATGTTTTCATTGATTTAATATTATAAAAGTATGTAACGCTCAGTGGAAATAGTCTGTCAACTTGCTCTACCAACAAATTAGGTTATATTTAATTGATTGCGAACTAATTTTTTACCACCATATTGATTTTATGGGATTCAGAGTCGTGTGATTGGACTATTTGTCACTTTCATTCTTGTACATAAATTAATAAAATATTATTTTACAAATTTATTTATATCTATGTTTTATTTCATTACAGAGTCCTATGTATTTATTTATATTTGTATAATTGGGCTGCTAATATACAGTCGGTTAGTCGGTAGGTTGCCCTAATGCGATTGCACTGATTGCGCGTTTGTTTGGTACACCACGCCCTCTGTTAAGCAGCGTAAAACAAACGAGGCTTGTACTTAACTGACTGATTGATTTGTTTACGGTACAATTTACAAACACTAGATATTTTGGAACCATCCATAATGAGATCAAATGATGATACGCATTCATGATGTGCCATGCATCTTGCCACAGAGGTGTTTGTCGCGTATTGAACTCATAGTTCTGACGAATTTGTTCTGTCCATTGATTTTTTATGTTAGAATGTCAAACGAGCTGACAGAGCACCAGATGGTGATCGACCTGCACCTGGCGGTGCACCAGTGCAGGATGATGTATGAGTTATACATCATCCTGCACTGGTGCACCTGCCATTTTATTATTATTATTTCTTTTCAGACCAGACTAATATAGTGCAGTACATGACATTAATAAAACTTAAAAATGATATATTTATTTATTTATATTTGTGCGATAATGCAGGCCAACAGCAACGTCCAAACTATCTTGAAGTTTTCGTTTGAAGAATAAAGTTGCTTTTGGTATGTAGTACAGTTCTCATTTTTTGTTTGACACCTTGCTCTTCATTTGTTTCTTTGGAGGTTCGTAAAATACGTTATATTGCGGCGTCTCTTCAGATTTTATGCCAACTTTCTGCTTCTCTTCAGTTTTGGCTCACCTAGTGGCGACACTTGTTGACTGCAGTTAAAAAAATTAAATAGTAATGTTATTAGTATGTTATATTATCTTAACTGTGGTATTAGTGACTGATACCGGTAAGATGTATGCTAGACATCTAATATCATTAAACTAGGAATTTAGCAGATAAAAAAATTAAATAGTAATGTTAGCAGCCGCCAACAGTTTATTATGTAATGCTAGCTATTAATATCATTCAATTTAAGAATGGCTGGGAGATGACTGTATTTGAATGCTGACATTGAATGTATACACATGCACGACATGAGACCTTAGTTTTCAGGAAATGTAACGAATAATCTCTACCATGGGTATCACATGACGTGTTTCCGTGATGCAAAACAAAATGCTATTGGCAGACGGCAGACTACTTGTTGGGCAGTAGCATTCACTGCCCATCAAGTAGTCTGCCGTCAGCTTGAATATCACTTTTTTGTAACCCATGTCTTAGTCTAGACTTCTGAGGATTTTTTAATGCATGACTATGAAATACGCAGCAGCGCAGCATGTTTGAATGGGAATGAATGTTTGCATAATGACGAATTTAATAAATCTCATGAGACTTATCAAATCAAACCAATTCAAACAGGAGAAGTCACATAGGTAATTGTCATGATTTATGACTCCACCCTTTCTCTCTCCCCCTGTCCTCGTCCCTGTTACCGCTGTTACTACACATACATTTCTTTAGAAATTATTAAATTAATGAACAATGGTTTGTCCCACAACATCACACTAATACAAATATAAACGTTTCTTGTAAATACATACCGAATATCAATGCCTGCGTCCTCTAACATTCGTCTAGAGGCCTTGTATTCATTTCTGTCTCCTTTTTGGTCGGAAGAAAATATTACGCTCTTTATGCCAGATTGTATGACCATTTTTGCGCATTCATTGCACGGGAATAACGTCACATAGATACGGCAATCCTTCACTTTTCCAGGCGCATTTAGTATTGCGTTAAATTCAGCATGGGTTACTGAAAATGGAGACATTTACAATTACAATGTAAAGATTAACGAGATTGAAATTAAACAAGTAGTCGTTATACATAGTGTTTAATTTTTTACAACACATTTTAATACTAACTCATTAATTTCTTTATTGTCTTGTTGTACGGATAATTGTTACCTTTTGCCCAACAATTGTATCTGTGAAAATAAATGTATTCATTAAAAATACGTACGTAAGTACAATAAATATGAGTATATTATAGAATAATACAATATATCCTTACTTCTTTATCCTTATCCTTACTCCTTACTTTATTATATATTTATATTATTATATTAATATTATAAATGCGAAAGTAACTGTCTGTCTGTCTGTCTGTGTGTCTGTCTGTCTCGCTTTCACGCCAAAACTACTGAACCGATTTCAATAAAATTTGGTACACAGATAGTCTAGACCCTGAGAAAGGACATAGGCTACTTTTTAATGCGAAAAAAGGGTTGTAAGGGGTTGAAATTGGGGATGAAAGATTGTATGGAAGAATCGTCATTTTTGAAGGCAGAAGCTTGAAACTTATTTTTGAGGCTGCTAATTAAATATAAATAAATATGACATACAAAGTTTTTAAAAATTTTACCCTTAAGGGGGTTAAATAAAATAGGGGATGAAAGTTTTTATGTAAATTTGTCATTTTTGAAGCTAGAAACTGATTTTTGAGGCTGTTGATTGACTATAAATAAATAAGCCTGGAAATTTTGTAAAAATGTTAACCTTAAGGGGGTAAAATAAAATAGGGGATGAAAGTTTTTATGTAAATTCGTCATTTTTGAAGCTAGAAGCTTGAAACTTATTTTTGAGGCTGTTGATTGACTATAAATAAATAAGCCATGAAATTTTGTAAAAATGTTACCCTGAAGGGGGCAAAATAAAATAGGGGATGAAAGTTTTAATGTAAATTCGTCATTTTTGAAGCTAGAAGCTTTAAACTTATTTTTGAGGCTGTTGATTAAATATAAATAAATAGGCCATCGAAGTTTATAAAAATGTTAGCCTTAAGAGGTTAAATAAAATAGGGGATGAAAGTTTTTATGTAAATTCGTCTTTTTGGAAGCCAGGAGCCTGAAACCTATTTTTGAGGCTGTTGATTAAATATAAATGAATAGGACATTCAAAATTTTTATAAAATTACCCTTAAGGGGGTAAAATAAAATAGGGGACGAAAGATTTTAGGTAAATTCGCCATTATTGGAGCCAGATCTATGAAAGTTTTTTATTGAATTTAGTTAGTTTATTAAATACCTTACTAATATTATAACTGTAAAAGTAATTCTGCCTGTCTGTCAGTCTCACTTACACGCCAAAACTACTGAACAGATTTAAGTGAAATTTGGTCCACAATTAGTCTAGATCTTGAGAAAGCACATAGGATACTTTTGGATGCGATAGAAGGGTTATAAGGGGTTGAAAGGGTACATGCATACGAGATTGTTCGACCTACGGTTCCGGCTGGGTGTGACTGGATGTCGCATCCTAGAAGTGCCAGGCGCCGATACCGGCGACAAAGCGAACTCACTAGCCGCAAGGTTAGTGATCTTGCCAGTAGAAAAAGTCCGGGTCACCAGGCCGGAGAAATTGGCTGAGCTGAGACTATGTGATCTGGACGACTCGGTAACATCTGAGAACGTCGTTGCCGCGAGTGGGAGGATGCGCGGATACAAGCATATAGGCGGACGAGGTCCGGTGCACTCCCTCCGGCGTGGGCTCAAACTGGGTGTAATGCCCGGTTGCAGCAGCCTAAACCCTAATCCAGGCGGGTCGGATTAAGGTAAAGTGCTTGCTCACGGGGCACGTAGGCCAACGGTGCACTGCAGGGGAAGACAGCAGCGATAGGAGCTATCGCTGTGGTCAGGGCGGCCACAAGACCGCGAGATGTGTCGCGCCATCGCCACGTTGCTGGTACTGCGCTGCGGCTAACTGCAAGTCGGACCATGGAGTCGGTAGCACAAAATTGTGTCGCTTGCCAAGGCCAGGGCCGCGGCCGCAGCGCAGGTCACCGGCGGGAGGGGAGGATTCGATGGACACCTGTGTCTATCAGCATGGCCATCGAATCCATATTTGACCCTAGTGTGGAGGATTGTTAGGGCGATCCGAAGCTCACAAGGGAGGCATTAAGGTGGCGTGCAGAGGCTATTCCCTGCACGCCTAGATGAAAGGTCCTTTCAATGGGAACCGTGCCGGTAGTCTTGGAGAATGCATATGCGATCATATAGCTACGGCGACATGTTCGAGGAGGAATAGTCGTCAGGTTTTTGGCCGATATGAATCCGGCAGTCCCCATTTGGCCCCTAAGCCTCTATGAAGATTTTTTCCTGACGTTAAAAAAACACGGTTGTACGTAAGAATCGTCATTTTTAAAGCTAGAAGCTTGAAACTTATATTTTAGGTTGGTGATGATTGACCAACCTAAAATATAAGATGATGAGATGATGATTCATAGTTTGTAATAATTTTACCCTTAAGGGGGTACAATAAAATAGGGGATCAAAATTTTTATGTAAATTCATGACTAGCTTAAAACTAGAATGATGAAACTGTTTTCATTGGCTGTTTTGGGTTTATTTATTAAATACCTCACTAATATTATAACTCTGGATCTCGCTTACATGCCAAAACTACTGAACCGATGTAAATGAAATTTAGAACGTATAATCTAGAAGACCCTGAGAATGGATATAGGGTATTTTTTAATGTGGAAAAGGGTTGTAAGGGGATTGAAAGGTGCAAGGTTGTATAGATATATCGCCATTTTCAAAGCCTGAAAGTGATTTTTAGGCTGTTGATTAAATATAAATAAAGAAAAATGGGTTGTAAGGAATTTAAAAGAGAGTCAAATGTTTATATGCAAATATTGTCGTTTTTAAAGCTAGAAACTTGAAGTTTAATTTTTAGCCTATTTATTAAATATATATAAGGGGTTGAAAGAGTTATGTATGGAAGTATCATTTTTGAAGATGAAATGATGAAACTTTTTCATTAGGCTTTTATTGGGTTAGATCATTAAATATTTTTTTCATTATTTAGTCAAGTTCACTATTTTACGCGGATGAAGTCGCGGGTATAGCTAGTTACTTATATTCCTAAGAATTTAAATGATCTGGCTTTTAAAATTGAGTCGTTTCCATATCCAGTAGGTTTATAGAAACTACTCAATTTTAAACGATAATTAGATAGGTAAGTTTTGCCTAATATTCTATTATGAGGCGAAACTTACCTTACTCCCTAATAACAAGAGATTAGAAGGACAAATCAGATATCTATGTACACCACGTATTTAGTTCAACCAACTTCTTTGTTTGATGAGTCCTGATCAGCAATAATATCTACTTTGAAAACAGTTTTTTTCCTCTAGTTATCTGGAATCTCAGAGTCCTCGTTAAGATTGAATTAGAGCACTCGATCCTGTCTTCTTTCCTATTCTCGTCGTATTATTTAAACAGGTGTTCATTATTATTTTAATTTAAATATTAAGTTTTTTAATTACTTCCAACTAAGTTATTTTGCTTTTAAATACCAACTACCGCCGCACTCACGAGTCTTCTAATGATTACTTAAGCAACTCCTGCAGATTAGAGAAAAATCCTTCTCAGAGTCAGCTTATGGACGATAAGTAACCCATAATGACAATTAATAGATATGAGTGTAAGGCCAACCTGTACTAAAACTATATAGGTTCATCTTTTTATGTCAATTACTGGGTGTTTCTCTCTTTTCTGATTTTTCTAAACGCTTATAGGATTTACAGTATAATTTTTTTATACAAGTGTGGTAGACAAGCATACGGCTTCATCTGATCATAAACAGTTACAGTTTGTAACAACACCAGGGTTACCTATTTCTATATTATTATATTAAATCGCTGTACCGTAATTCGAAGCCTGTAAATGAGAGTAGCGATGCTATTTTTCGGTACTGAGGCGGACGTTACGTCACTTTTTGCCGGAAGTACACCTGCATTTTGTTAGTTCAACTTTCCTCCACCAGGTGGTGTTAGTTTACTTGTGTTGTGCAGAGTCCCAATTTAGGTCATTGGCGGTTTATTTTTCGTGCTGAGCGGACCGTTCTTATGTACGCTGAGGCCACGTAAGAATAAAAATTGTTGCATCACTGTATTTTTTAAATTATTTTTTCAAGATAACGGTGTTACCGTTCGATGTTACTTACCTTCAATATATATTTTAATAACAATAATTCATTCATTAATTTAAAGTTTATTGCAACGGTTTTTATTTTCAACAATTATTTTTTTTTCAAAACTAGATTATATTTTAGTATGAGTGATACAAGTAGTGATAGTAGTTCTTCAAATTCGCCCGGAAGTATCCAGAATGTACCTGCAACAGAACCTGCCGAAAATGGTGAAGGTTCTCAACGGAAACGACATGGCACTCCGCAGAAGAAGAAAGACAACAAACGACGTAGAAAATCAAAGGAGCTGCGCAGGCTCAGTAACGAGGTTAGTTATTTAAAACAATACTTGTCTCATAACCAATTTAATTCGGCCCCACATATTGCACCATTTGGTAACTATACGACACAACCTCTGTACGAAGATGATAGCATTAGCTTAAATCACAGTGGTGAATTGTTTTCCGAAGGCGAAAATGTTTCAACCTTGGATAACTCTGTCAGTCTATCAACTACAAACTTCAACTTACCAATTAATACTGTTTTGAAAGAACCCACCATTACCAAGTCAACGGACGAACACATCAATTTATTGAATTCGTTACAACATTTTAACAGTTCTCAATGGTGTGACGTGAGGTTTTCTGAAGTACAAAAGAATTATACATCGTCCCCAGGCTTCATTGATCTGGAATGTAATGACGAAATAAAATCTTACGATAAATATCCTAATCTATGTACTATAGTACATAGATTAGGATAATAGAAAAAAGTTTCGCCGCTATTACCCAAGCGTTACTTAAACAGAGAGAGGCCGCGCAGGCCGGTTTTGAGTCTTTACTCTCATGGGCATCTAGTTCATGACCTATCACCATCAACGATTAGACAGAAATGAAACGAAATATTTAGTGAGGGTACTTTTAACAAAATATCTAGTGACCTTCTCCAATTATCTTGTGGTCATCGAGCAGATATAATTGAGCAAAGGCGAGATAGTATACTACGATCCG